TATAAACATTTTATTTATTTATCCGTTAATAATAAAATATATTGTATATTTGTATTACATTATGTATTGTACATTACGTGTATGGAAATTTAATTTTTTTTATTTTATCCTTGCAAATGGGGCTATACACATATAAAGGTTATAGTAGAAAGACCCAACAAATGAAATAACTTTAGTTATAAAGTTATAATCAATATTTAAAAATTTATAGATGTCTGCGCTACATGTATTGATGTATTATAGTAAAGCTTATTTTAGTAAAATACTGAAAATAAAAATTTAGTTTTTTAATCCAAAATAGGTCACTTTTAAATCTGGGTTTTAAAAACATTTTAATTATATAAACATATATTTAAGTAATGCAATTTATTTTTTGGAATTTGTCGAAGTCGTTTTTTTGAAACATTTTGGAGATTCGGAAAAGAAGAAAAATAAAGGTATTGATTTGATCTTTTTAATGTTCTTAATTAGTATACTGAAAGCGTATCATTATAATGCGATTGAAAGTGAGGTTGACCGTTACAAAAATTAATAACTTCAGTTAAAATATGATTTTGTATACTAAAACTGACTGATGTACATATACTTGATTTCATTTAAGATTCTGAGCGGAACGAGGAATGTATTGGTTTTACAATGATGTTCTTTTCTTTTTCTTTTTTATTCTGTAAACAGTGTAAACACTTTTTCTCCCTCTAAGCATGCTCAAAAGTGTCAAATGTAGCATTTTTTCTGAAATATAATGTTCTCGAGCTGGTACTTTAGAGAGGTCATTTTTTGATTTTCGAAACGATACTCGAAATAAAAGCGGTTAAGGAGAAAAAAACATACGATTTCACGATTTAATAATATTAAATAATTACGGACGACGTTTCTACCAAAAATATTGCTTAAAATGACAGGAGATCTTTTTTGTTGTATTCTGGATTTTGTTTCTTACGGTTTAAAGTTCGGAAAATGTTAGGCATTTTTGAGCTATTTATAGACATTTTAATTTTGGGAGTTTTTTTGTTGTAATTCGGTTAAAACATTCGTAAAAACTTNACCTCATTCAGTTTATATAAGTAATTATGATATGGTTTTGCCACGGTTAATGTCTTATGAGTTATGACGTTTACATTACTATTATTTATTATTTATTTTATATACAATAACTAATAAGCAACGTATTTATTATAWACTTGTTTAGGGCGTACTTCTTAAGAAAAAAAATATTGTGATAAAAATAAGATGTATTTACATATTACCGTAAAAAGTCGAAATCGGGCAAACCTCAGAAACGACCGAACGCAAGCTTTTCGTACAGCCTAGTGGTCGCCTACTTTTTTTCTCACTTACTTGTTGTAATCCATGTTCATCGGGGTGTTTCGTTAATTATTATTTATTCAATAATAACTATTCTACATTGCTATATATGGATTATTTAAAATATATAACCTTAACACTTTTTTTTGTCTTTCYGGCTATCATTTCCAGGGAACCAAAACGAATACCGTGTTCACCGAATCGGCGGACCTGTCGAAACTGTCGTCGGACAAGCTGTACTTGGACGACGTGGTCCAGCAGGCCAACATCCGCGTGTGCATTGACGGTTCTTCCGCTTCCTCGCTGACCAGTATGTCTTACCGTGATACGTCACCGGCTAAACTACACGCGGACCGGAACAACCGCCGTCGTGTCATCGTTAACGGTTTAACAAACGTTTCAGGTTCCGCATTTACGTCACAGAGAGTCATCAAGGAGTCGGTKGTCGTGGACCGGCCGTTTGCGTACGCGTTATACAACGTGGCCAACGGGATCGTGTACGCGGCCGGCAAGTTGGAGCGACCTGTCTGGGAGGATACCGACGACGACGGCAATGGTTCCGACATCGAGACGATCGACATTTAGACAACACCAAAGCGATTATGTACATATTATAATAATTTATTGGAGTTCGGATCTTGTTGTGCCCAAGTTTAAAAACAACAAAAAACATTACCTATAAATTCGTAAAAAAAAAAAAAAACACTATATTACGTGTAATTGTGCGACCGGTGATGTATATTTTTAATGCGTCCAATCTGAACTTTCACCAAATTCCTTAACTTTATTACGTTTCGCCGTGTAAGATGACACGTTGGGATATTGTCAACCATTCAATAATTAATACAAAATTCATGGATTGAAACTCATTTTATAAAATTGTACTTACAACGAAAAAATTCCACGTTTATTTATAAACCTTGATGCTGAGTACATAATGTAGTATGAAACAAAATAAATATGTATCTATAATAGCCGAATTAATTACAAATAATAATAATAATTTCCAATACCAAAATAAAGCAAATGCTTAGGTATTATACGAAATCCGAACTCTGTTATAGTTATAAACTATAATAGAATGATATATCCGTCGCTCATAGTATAATATTCGGATATAAAAAT